AATGCAACATCTTTTCAGGTGTTTTCAGTGAAACTGGCTTCCATTTGAGATGTGTTTGAGATATATTTACCACGTATTCATACTGCATTTCCAGAAATTTATATACAGGAATAAACATGGTTGGAACACATCAGAATAGGAAATGCTACATATACAAAAATGTGGTACAATGTAATGCATGACCAAAGCAGCAAAACTAATGTTATTGAACACTGCCCCATACAATGCAGTTCATTATCCAAACACTGCATATCAGAATTTTCAATAAGGGTTCACAACATCCTTAAAGTATCCTTGAAGTATGTTTCTGGAAAAAAAATCTAAATTTTCTGTAGAAAAGATTACCATTCTTACCTTTTTTCATCCTTTTGTTTTTGCATTTAGTGTGGTTGACTTCCTCCAGGCTCACTTGGCCACTTTATGAAATGGATCTAGTGTCAGCTGAACATTTTTGCTGTACACTGGCTTCCTAGCAGTGACAATAATGGATCATGTCTGATGTCGCGCACCCTCTGGTGTACATAGTTTGTAATGTAGTTAGAGGCTTTTTAGAAGCTTGGGTGTGAGTCAGTGAGTTTTCTTTAGGACAGGCTGGAGGGCTCTACAGGTCAGGCCTCTGGTACCACCCTCTGGTTGTGGAAGCTTGGGGAAGTTTCCAGAAGCTAATGGGTGGAGGCCAGAAGGTGCTGATCTGCACACTTATGGGAATCTGGCCAATACCCAGGCAGGAGGTTTGGCAAGGTGGCCTAATCAGCCCATAAATATGAGAGAGAGCCTGGCCAGCAGAGGAGTCGGGTCGAGAGATGGAGTGCTGAGGTGTGCTTTTGTGTAGCCTGGGAGGAGACCTCAGAGAAGGGGGGTTTCTTCCTCCAGGCTGGAGGTTGGAAGAATGGGAGAAGGAAGTTGACAGAGAGAGCTCCACTGCCCTGCAGTCCACTGACAGCCTGTTAGCCTGGAAGGAAACTAGCCCAACAAAAAGCCTGAAAGCAGTTGATCCACAGCTACAGGATACAAGGACAGTGTGAGTACCTCTACACCCCCAGAGTCTACAAGAGAGAGGGCTGCTAGGTGCAGTTCTCCCTTTGGACAGTGCTGCAAGTCTGTTCTAGAATCTCCTGCTCTGGTTTACTCTTCATAGACAGCCAGGTGGATGGGCAGTTTCTAGCTGGGATCTGTAGAGGTTCATATAAAGAGGGGACCAAATGCTCCTTACAGAGACTGTGTTACTAATCCATCAAGAGACTAATGCCACTCCAGAGAGAGTAGAAAGTCCAGGATCCATCCTTTTTGTACAGAATTTAGAAAAGTGTGTCCTCAGAATTATTGTTTCAATTCAGGTTGGGAATCCCATATACCCCTAGATCTTATCCAAGTTATTTACCCCAAATAAAACAGCAAAAAAAAAAAACATGTCCATGGGCTGGTTACTGTCTCTGAATGGGAGTTGGAAAAATAAGTGTTGCTTGGCTGTGCAGGAAATAGGGAGACCCAAATTCAGCAACTCTGAAGGGGGTAGCGCTACACTATAAAATGTGTGTCTGCCAGAGATGAGGTGTGGATTCACTTCTTCCATGGGTTCAGGGCAAATTCCCTGGGATCACAAGTTCAGGAATCTAATATTTGGCTGAAAGTCTGCAGGTTTGCCCCAAGAAATATATCACAATTTATTATCTGACAAAAAATAAATGGATTGAAAGAATGGTTAACCTAGCCTCCTTTCTATAAAAGAGTAGGCTCACAACAGCAACATTGTGTTGGAGCTGTAATTCTGTGTAGGGGAATTACTGTTATTTTGTCCTATTTTTTCTTTAAAGGATAACTTCACCTTTGGGAACATGTTACATGTTCCACCCATTTTTAGGGTGGAACATGTAACATATTCTCATAGCCGCAGTCGCTGCCTGGTGCCCCCCCTCCCTCTGACAGATAGTATGTGGAGAAGTCTCACCGTACTATCTGTCAAATTTGAAAACAGCGCGGCCATGTGGGGCCCACACGGCCGCATCATTCATTCACGGACTTCCGCAAATTAATAAACTGCAAGTCTTAGAGGCTGTTGGCTTGTAGTTTTCAATGAACTACCACGGTGCTGTGGAACGCCGTGGTAGTTCATTGAAGCTTCCTGTCAGAATATCTGCTTGCTCGTACATCCCGTACAGCAAGCAGATATTCTGACAGGTCTGCAGGAGACCTGCATGGCATCAGCGATCTACTGATAATCAGTGCAATGCTTTCCAGGCTCCTGTAGACAAAAATAATAAATGCAAAATGTTTTACTTGCAAACAAATGTGCATTTATTATTTTTGTCTAAAAGGTGAACTTATCCTTTAATTTTTGCATTGGACTTTTTCCCTATGGCAGTGTCCAGATTCCTAGGCCTTTCATTTGACAATAGCTTGCTTGTCAACCCTACAAATGGGCAGAACCAAAGAGCAGGATTCACCCCAGATAAACTTCAGTGAGGTTACCTGGAAAGTTGGTGAACTATGAGAAAGATCTGCAAATTGTTAATGAACTGCACTCAGACAGATTTACTCATCCCTGTGGTCTCCACCAGGGGTGCATGTGACAGGGTGACAAAGTAGAAGCAGAATTATCAGACTGTAGTCACTCCATAATAGACAGGGCGTAAACACAGCCCATCATATCAGCATCAAAAAGCACCATGAAACCTGCAGATTTAGAGATTGAAAAAAAAAATTAAATTCACACATGATGCTTGTAGGAAATTTGGGTTATTTTCTGTAAAGTAGACCTAAACTCAAAAAGTAAATGTTTGCTTTGTCATATGGAGCATTTAGAAATGTTAACTGTGTCTCAATACTACCCCTAGAACTTTATGTTTTACCTTGTATCCCTTCTGGAGAAATAGGAATGCACTTTTTGTAGTTAATCACACCGAGCACTTTTTGTTGTTAAGCCTCATAGCTGTGTATCTGCGTTGTGAGATCTAAGGAATTGTCTCCTTGCTGGAGGCTTTGACATAAGGAAGTCAGCAACACAGAAAGATCAGCTGCAGTAACCTCATAGGAATTACAGGTAACTAGTCCTAATACATCCAACTACATTATTATTGGCTCAACTTATCCCTCAACTCATACTCTTTTATAGGTCAGTTCACCCATAAAAGACATGTCAGTTGTAGGTAGAATGCTGTAGGCTGAGACAATTTGGGGTTGATTTACACAAACTGGAGGATACAAAATTTGGTGCAGCTGTGCACTGTGTATGGTAGCCAATCGGCATTTAACTTTAGTTTGTTCAATTAATCTTTGACAAAAAAAAAAAACCTAGAAGCTGATCAGATTTCTGCCCTCTCCAGTTTTAGTAAACCAACCCTTTATGTTTCTGTATATGGGAGACTTCCTGCCATAGTTTTTGATATGAACATCCTCGCTTTGAGTTTTTGGGCCTCCCAGCTACCTTCAGCTTTCTGCCCTTCTCTTGACTTGAATTATTAGGATGCCAGGATTCACTTAAGGATCCAGGAATTAAGTCACTAGAGGTCACAGAACAATAAATTGAAATCTATATCCTTAATAGTTTTTTTCAAACCTGCAGATAATTTCTTTTAGTATACAACAAACACCACATACACAATCTGACAAATGCCAGCAAATACAATTCCAGTTTGACCAGAGCCTGTTGTGCTTGAAGGTGGGACTCATTTAAAAAAAAAAAAAACAGTAATACTGGCCATACACTAGTAGAATTTCAAAAGAACATTTGCACAAACCATACAAAATTTCTCATCAGTATATTCTATGATTTGGCAAATGTCATTTGAAAGCAATTTGAAATTTTGTTTGCTTTTAATATTTAATTTTGGACTGAATGTAATTTCCCAAATTGAAATCACAAACATTCAGTCAATTAAGAAAAATGTTCCTTCCTTCCCTGCTCTATCAAAAGTTCTTGTCGCTGTAGTCAAGAATGAACATCTGTTTGACCCCACTAATGATTTCAAAATTGAGCAAACCTTCCGGAAACAAGGTTTTGAACAAAAAGTTTTATAGCGCATGGCCAGCCTAGTTTATGGGCTATGATACAAAATTGGAAGTAATTTATTGTGCAATGTTTGTACTACATCATCAGTATTATAGTTACAATGTACACCCTTGTGAAGTGCCTAGGCACTACCTGTAAATTATACCTGTATACTATAAATGGCATGTTTGAATCGGGTAGTAACAAAACCCCATTTGCCATTGGATTAAGCTAAACCCAGTGTGCCAAACAGCACTCACCTTCGATGAAACTTTAAAATGTGATTGCGGCTTTTGTACTGATGATAGAACTTAATGTAACGTGGCACAGTACATTATGGTGTGTTTGTCCATTAGAGAATTTTTTTCTGACCATTTGTTTCTATCTGTCTGTCCATAATATTATGTATTCATATCTGTATGTGAGTCTGTGTCTTTTGTTTCATGCAAGTCTGTACCCATGACTGTGCCAGAAAAAAAAAATTAATGTTACTTTACCACCAGCAAAAAAATACTAAAGGTGTTAGGATTCATCTGATATTCAATGACCTTACTAATCCCACAACAATAAAATAAGTATGTATATGCAGTAAAGCATGCTTGCTATACTCAACGTGGAACCCAAAGGGTTAATTCTCTGCATTGTGTAAAAAGGATGTTTGATCCTGTCTTCTCTGATCCTCCCCTTCTTCCACAGTTCTTAATCCGTCTGCTGATAGAACAGATCAAGCTACACATGATCAGTTTGGTGTGTAAATTGCTAGAGAGTTTTTTTTTTCTTGGGAGAGTGCATCTGGTCAGCACAGGGCCAATCTGCATTGTCCAGACAGAGGGTCAGGGGTCCTGCAGCCTCGTAGGACAATCGGGGGGAGAGTGAAACCTCCTCCTACAAACTTTAACCAGTGCCCTGCTGGACACTGATAGAGCAGTGTTGTGGCTTCTAACTGCTGATGAGAAAAGGTATTTAGCAGTTTATATTTACTAAAATAATTACATTTCTATGTTCTGTGTACTGCGGGATATCAGATATAGTGAATGCAGGGCCATGGGTTTAGTAACACTTTAATAAATGGATACAGATGGGGTACATTATACCAGATATATGTATATATATTTTTTTTACAATTTAAGTTAAAGCAGTATTAAACCCAAAAGTAAACTTGTATTATATTGCAGCTTACCAATTATTTTTTTAATCTTTCTCTTAGTTTTCACCCTTGATTTGGCCAGTAAGTCTGTTGTTTTTTGAACAGAACACTCTCTCCTACAGAAGTAACAGTTATTGGGTTGAGAAAACCTTTATCCCAATAGGAGAAAAAAACAGTTTGTTGTAACAGCCCTAAAAGTGTTAGCTGGAGTACAGCTTCAGTTTGTTAGTGTATTTAAACTTGTTAGTGCATCTAACACTCCCCCCCCCTCCCCCTAGATTAATAATACTGCTGTACAAAGGTGTCTCTTTTGTGCTTTCATCCAGACTGGGAGCACTCTAATACAGGAGGTGTTGCTGGCTAGATCACTAGGTGGAAAGAGAGGGAAAAAAGCCTAAAAAAGAAAAAACAATTCAGCCACCACATATAATGATTAGTAAGCTACAATATATTAAATGGTTGCTTTTGGGTTTAATAATGCTTTAAAGAACTATAGGCAAAACTTTTTTTTATCATTTTGGACAGAGAAAGGGAGGTTTATACTCCTGTTCTATTTTTTGTGTCATCTGTGTCCCATTTCAGGGCTTTGCCTTCACTTCTTGTGTCCCATCACCAAATAGGAAGTGAGAGGAAATCCCTGCCAATTAAAGCAATCCCTTGGTAACTCCCAGGTCACCAGAACTAGGGTCTCCATTGGAAGATTTGCCCTCTTTTACAAATTTGGGATTTCCTTTACTTCCACTTTCAATGATAATGGTAAATCTACTTATCAGGAGCACAGACAGCAGTAAAAACTGACAGGGGTTATTATCCCGCTCTACTCTATCCAAAACTAAAAAAAAACTGTTTTGCATTTAGTTATACATTAAGAAATATTTAAATATACAATATTTACAGACTGTGCATATTCCTAATGTTTATTCTATTATGTAAATACAGTCAATTAATCCATCTTACATTAATTAAAACGTGAAAAAAGACAGATCCATTTTCTTCATAAATCTTCCAAGTTTGTATTCCCCGGTAAAGTGTGAGAAAATGTCAGCAGCAAAACAAATCTATTATACAAAGGCTCAGACTAGAATCTAGCAGAATTGTTCTGCCTTGTGCATTATTATTTCATAGATCAGCACTTTATCAGTTGATAGACAAGTTCAAGCAGATGCTGCTGTTAATGAATATGATCATCTGGGGAATTGAAAAGTGATATGTAGACAAAGAAGACTGTAGGGATTAATGATCCATTCTGTCCCCGAATCCCTGAGAGATTATCACTGAAACGAAGATGGCTCAGTACAACATTTCAGGGATAGAAAAAAAAAACAAAACCAATAAGATTATTTAGGACAGTTCTACACTTCTCGGAATTTTACATGAAGCTCAAAAATGATTTAAAAACTTTTAAAAACACTTTTCTTGGCGTTAGATGTGCTGCATTTTCATCTGCCAGGTCCTCACTCTGCCAAATTCATGATCAACACAGCAATAGAAATAAATTTGATTCTCATTTTTCATTCTAGAGTTGGAAGGTTGTGGCAGAAAACAAATGATTTATGAATTTTAATTACCATTGGCCAGAAAATTCTTAATAAATAATCCATAAATTATAACTTAGTGCAGAAATGCTGCTTATGTATCTGCCATTATGACATCTTAAAACTAATGTTATATGTTTCTAATAAAAAGAGAACATAGGGCTTCGAGAATGGGGATTGTATTGTGTTAAAAATATCTAGTTCAAGAATGTGGCATACTTTATTAGTAGAATGACTGAAGTGATTGAAAATGCTACCTGCTTAATGCATACACCACACATTCTCTCCAGTCGAAGGCTGGCAGCATGGAATTGGGCTAGGAGGCAGAATAGAGGACCCTCCCTCCCCACTGACACTAATAAGATATGCTGGGTTTTTGGCTATGAGTAGACAAACTTCACCATATAAATAAAAATCCGAGGGGACCTATGTTCAGTGACACACACTGGCTTTTATATGGCTACCAGGTTCAGCCCTGCAATCAAAACATATGGCAAAGGGAAGTCTTCTGGCACCAACTTTCCTTACAGCTCTGAGATGTCATGTGATTAAATGTCAAACATTACCAAGGGAGTTGACATTGAAAGATGTGAAAAGTGCTTTACAATAAAACATATCTTTTAAGAACACCCACCTTTCACCATAGCCACCAATCAAGAAGGCACCAGAAAACATTGTGTGTTACACTTCATTTAGCCCACATAGATCTGCTCCTACCATCAAAAGTTGGTTGTATTTATCCCCTATGCATTTAGGATCTCAGTCCTCTCCTAAATGGCATGTTTTGGAGAATAGAAACTGGAAGAAGCCTTCTCAATTCCTGAAAATATAAAATAATATAAAAGAATTCCCCGAAAATTCATGTATGGAATATTGCTTATAGTTTGCAGTACCTTAAAGTGGTTGTAAAACCTTACACATACCCAGTGAAGAGAATGGCCTCAGATGATACACAGATATGTGCACACTATAAAGTCATATTTCATGTCTGTGGTTTAAAGCCACTTTAAAAAAATACATATAGCCTGTATAATTTGTAGACTCCCAATATTGTACAGTAATATTTGTGATACCAATATGTAATTCTTGTAACTCTACTGGGCTTAAAAGTCTTGGTCATTGTATACAGGTAATCAGGTATGGACAGCTGTTGCATATACGCCAGGGTATATAGGCAGGTAGTGATGTACCCTGCTTTCTCTGCTACTGTACATTACATTGATGATATCACATGATCACAGCATATTGTAGAGGGTGAGTGGTACAGGCACCATGTCTGCACATATTAGCTTACAAAATGACATTCAGCCCACCTAGCAGTCCAAAAATCCAATCTATCTGTAGAAAATCAAGCATTTTTTGGAAACCAGGCAATTATGATTGTATAAACTAAACATTAAGGAACTGCTTTTGCACTGGATAAGTATACATACATGTTATGTTTGGTACTTTAAGGAACATATATACACACTATATTGACAAAAGTATTGGTACACCCCTCCAATTCATTTGATTCAGGTGTTCCAATCACCTCCATGGACACAGGTGTATAAAATCAAGCACCTAGGCATGCAGACTGCTTCTACAAACATTTGTGAAAGAATGGGTTGCTCTCAGAAGCTCAGTAAATTCAAGCGTGGTACCATGATAGGTTGCCACCTATGCAATAAGTCCATCCATGAAATTTCCTTGCTACTAAATATTCCACAGGCAACTATTAGTGGTATTATAACAAAGTGGAAGCAATGGGGAACAACAGCAACTCAGCCACAAAGTGGTAGGCTACATAAAATTACAGAACGGAGTCAGCTTATGCTAAAGCGCACAATGTGCAGAAGTTACTAACTGTCTGTAGAATCAATAGCTAAAAACCTCCAAACATGTAGCTTTCAGATTAGCACAACAAAAGTGGGCAGAGAGCTTCATGGAATGGGTTTCCATGGCCGATCAGCTGTATCCAAGCCTTTTATCACCAAATGCTATGCAAAGCATCAGATGCAGTGGTGTAAAGCATGCCGCCAGTGGACTCTAGAGCAGTGGAGATGTGTTCTCTGGAGTGACGAATCCTACTTCTCTGTCTGGCAATCCAAGGACGTGTCTGGGTTTGGTGGTTGCCAGGACAACGGTACTTGCCTAACTGCAGACTGGCAAATGTAAAGTTTGGTGGAGTGGTGCTTATGGTGTGGGGTTGTTTTTCAGTGGTTGGGTTTGGGTTCCAGTAAAGGAAACTTTTTAGGCATCAGCATACCAATACATTTTGGACAATTTTGGACAATTTCATGCTCTTCCCTTTGTGGGAAGAGATTGGGAATGGCCCCTTCCTGTTTCAACATGAATGCGCACCAGTGCACAAGGGAAGGTCCATAAAGACATGGATGACCTAGCTTGGAGTGGAGGAACTTTACTGGCCTGTGCAGAGTCCTGACCTCAACCCGATAGAACACCTTTGGGATGAATTAGAGCGGAGACTGCGAGCCAGGCCTTCTTGTCCGACACCAGTCCCTGACCTCACAAAAACATTTCTGGAAGAATGGTCAGGCATTCTCATAGACACACTCCTAAACCTTGTGGACATGTAGCTTTCAGATTAGCACAACAAAAGTGGGCAGAGAGCTTCATGGAATGGGTTTCCATGGCCGATCAGCTGTATCCAAGCCTTTTATCACCAAATGCTATGCAAAGCATCAGATGCAGTGGTGTAAAGCATGCCGCCAGTGGACTCTAGAGCAGTGGAGATGTGTTCTCTGGAGTGACGAATCCTACTTCTCTGTCTGGCAATCCAAGGACGTGTCTGGGTTTGGTGGTTGCCAGGACAACGGTACTTGCCTAACTGCAGACTGGCAAATGTAAAGTTTGGTGGAGTGGTGCTTATGGTGTGGGGGTTGTTTTTCAGTGGTTGGGTTTGGGTTCCAGTAAAGGAAACTTTTTAGGCATCAGCATACCAATACATTTTGGACAATTTTGGACAATTTCATGCTCTTCCCTTTGTGGGAAGAGATTGGGAATGGCCCCTTCCTGTTTCAACATGAATGCGCACCAGTGCACAAGGGAAGGTCCATAAAGACATGGATGACCTAGCTTGGAGTGGAGGAACTTTACTGGCCTGTGCAGAGTCCTGACCTCAACCCGATAGAACACCTTTGGGATGAATTAGAGCGGAGACTGCGAGCCAGGCCTTCTTGTCCGACACCAGTCCCTGACCTCACAAAAACATTTCTGGAAGAATGGTCAGGCATTCTCATAGACACACTCCTAAACCTTGTGGAAAGCCTTCGCAGAAGAGTTGAAGCTGTCATAGCTGAGAAGGGTGGGCCAACTCAATAGTAAACCCTACGGACTAAGACTGGGATGCTATTAAATTTCATGTGCATGTAAAGGCAGGCATCCCCAACAGATTTGTTAGAAAACCTTTACTTTCCTTTTAG